AGGTCTGCTGGGTCAGACAGAGAAAAACCTAGGAACCATCCAGAGAGTCATCAACAACCTGAAAATGATGAACAGTGATAAAATCTCTCCTGACAGAAGCATCAACATTTTTTACTGTCTGATAGAAATGAATAACCTCTCAATACATCAGGATATCCAAGAATTTTTGAAGTCAAAAAACAGATCAGAGAGACTCTTTGAGATCCACTGCTCAGCTCTGGCCCACATGCTGCAGATGTCAAAGGAGGTTCTCGAAGAGTTGGACCTGCAGAAATACAACACATCAGACCAAGGACGACAAAGAATGATTCCAGCTGTGAGGAACTGCAGAAAGGCTCGGTGAGTCCGATGTGATCATTTACACCATAAATCAGTGTAGACTGGTAGATTTGTTTTTAATACGTAGACAGTACAAAATCATTTCCTTTTGTTTTAGTTTTACATTCAGCTTTCCTTTGGTGAAAGCAAAGCTCAGCAGTTTTTCACACAGTAAAAGGAGTATGAGGCCACTCATACTTAGGGGGTTACTGTCATTGGATCCTTAGAACACCTGGGTGGATGATGTAGATAATGGTGCTGGCTCAGTTTTTTAGTGATTAAATACAATAAATACATAGATTTCCGTAATTGTTGGATAACATTTAAATAATATGACTATGAATAATATGAATAATATGATTTCAGCTGACTTTAAATTCAGCTGAAATCAATTTATTTATTTTATATTTATTAGAAGGCTCAATCATGTGTTGTTGTGAATGTATTTAAATGTAACATTCACTGGCTGGTAAAGATTTTGATTTCATCTGGATGTGGGAGACTTGCTGTGTCTTTCTCTGTCAGCCGCTGTGTTTGTATAGAGGTGGAGAGCAGTTACCTTATTCTGTCTCAGGCTCATAATTAGTGCCATAGTGAGTGGTTCAAGCTCCATGAATCACTGGAATCACAAACACAAACTGCCTACACCAACAGAAATGGCCTCTGCTACTCAAAAACATTTTCTATAATCACAGACTGGCTCAGTGTGGACTCTCAGAGACTCACTATGAAGTTGTGGTCTCAGCTCTGAAGTCCCACCCCTCCCATCTGACGGAGCTGGACATGAGTGGAAACGAGCTGCAAGGTTCAGGCGTGAAGCTTCTGTGTGCTGGACTGGAGAGTCCAAACTGTCGACTGGAGACTCTGAGGTGAGTTCACTGACTGCAGCTGTTGTTGTTTTTCTATATTTCAGATCTTTGATTTATGTTTGAAACTTTCTTTAGTTCCTAAATGTTCAGGATGTGTCTGAAGACAAATGTGAAGAAGTTTGAGTGCTTTCAGAAATGTTGTCTCTTGCCAAATGACTGAACAACAGTTTTTCCTTTTGGCTCCAAATAGAAGTGACAGGCTAGTATGAGAATGTTGATCTCATTCAATTAAACATTTAAAGCACTCTGCTTTGTTTTTCAAATTTTACTCCACTCAGCCATTTAAACTAATTGTCGTTCAGAGATCATAAAAAATGAAACTAAATATTGAAGCTCACTATTTCTATTATGGCTGGAGAAGCAACATGTTCATTCAGTATAGGCTTTTATATTCTCACTTTTCTGCTGTGAACACATTATGAATACTGAATGACTTCAAACAGGAAGTCAATTTGTTAAGCTGATGCCTTTTACATTTTTATTCAGATTGGAGAAATGCAGTTTGTCAGATATCAGCTGTGATTATCTGGCCTCTGCTTTGAAGTCCAACCCCTCCCATCTGAAACATCTGGACTTGAGTCTTAACATGATGCAAGATTCAGGATTGGAGCGGCTATGTGGTTATCTGGAGGATCCACACGGGGGACTGCAGACTCTGAGGTTAGACGCCACGTTTTTAGTATATGCAAATCCAGAGAAGTTAAATTTTCAGTTCTATGGATTTAACAGAATTTTATCTTACTGTAGTAGGAAGTTGTTACCAGTTTACTGGGTAAGAAGCAATTAACATTAATCACACACCAGTCAAAACACCCAAAAGTTCTTTTTAACTCTCAAGAACCTATTGACATTTAATGAACAACATAGGTGTCCTGCCAGTGTCAGTGTGTCAGACTTTAGAAAGATATAAGAAATAGCTCTAATATATACAAATGGCTCAATTATAGATCCATCCATCCATTATCTTCCACTTATCTTTGTCAGGCTCACACGAGGGGCTGGAGCCTATCCCAGCTACCATAGGGCGAGAGGCAGGGCACACCCTGGACAGATCACCAGTCTGTCACAGGGAAACACATTTAACCGTCACACTCAAATTCATAACTATGAACAATTTAGAGTTACCAGTCAACTCAGCTGGGAAGCTGAGGTAACCAGAGAGAATGCAAACTGGGCCAAATATACCATATACACACATATACAAATATATAAATACAGATTATACAATAGGGATAAATAGAATAAACAGGAATAAGAATACCAGGGAATTGCACATTTCAACTTTTGTGAGTCTATTACACCGTTGGATGTTAAAAGAGAGAGAGAGAGAAAATATATATAAATATGTATAAAATATTGCACAGTGACAAAGGCACTACAGATTAGTTGCCCCCCCTCCTTTGTCCCCCTGTCTCCCCTCCCTCTCCCCTCCAGAGAGGAGTTAAACAGTTTGATGGCGTGTGGGACAAAGGAGTTTTTAAGTCTGTTGGTCGTTGACTTGGGGAGAAGCAACCTGTCACTGAACAGACTCCTCTGGTTGTTTATGGCCATATGCAGATGATGCCCAGCATTGTCCATAATGTCCAACAGGTTCTTTATTGTAGTAGTCCACGAATTCTGAGCATGACGTCTGTGCTGAAGATTGTCTCCTTGGCATCTTTGCTTAGGGCTTGTTATTGTGCTGCCATCACCAGAACCTCTGTGTTGTCTTTTTCTAGCCACTATTAGGCTTAGGCTATATGTGTCTGGTTCATAATAAATTACATTAATTAGAGTCTCACTGTTGGACACATTGCATCATATAATCTGAAAAACAGTGAAACCCTCAATGATTTAAACCCGAAACTGTCGAATAAGCTTTTTTCTTTTCCTCTTTATACAGACTGGAGTGGTGCAGTTTGTCACAGGTCAGCTGTTATTATCTGGCCTCAGCTATGAAGTCCAACCCCTCCCATGTGAAACATCTGGTCCTAAGGGGAAACAACCTGCAGGATTTAGGAGTGAAGCAGCTGTGTGGTTTCCTGGAGAGTCCCCGCTGTAGACTGGAAAC